TCTCCTTCATGGGGTGGCAGACAAGAATCGAGGGTGTAGGGTGGCAATAGGGGAGGGGGGGTAAAGAGCTTGTCAGGCTGGTAAACTATAGGAAGGTCAGTCTCTAATATACTGTCCTGTTCATCCAAAGGGACAAATTACCCAGTCTCATCAGGGTATAGCCTAACTGCAGCAGCTTGTGTTTTGGGTGCTGGGGGCATGCACGTGCGCGATTAGTGCAAGATGCTCAATGGGGGTGTGTGGGGTGGGGAAGCAGCCCCAGTCAACAACCCCCAACGGAACCCTCAATCTGAGCCGCTCGTATTTTGTTTGAAGGCTCTCTCGGCCCATGCCCAGGAGATCTCCGGTCCATTGCCTCCTATTTGACAGCAAGCTCAGAGATAGCCAATGTTAAAATTCTGACCAAACAGCCCATAGGGGATGGGAGAAGGTTGCAATTCCATCTTTGTTGAGAAGCAGCAGAGTAATTTTCTAAAGCTTTATATACAACAAATGGGGGGGGGTAGCGTAGTAGGATTTTCATTGGTCTAGCAATCTAGAAACTATTCAATTCAATCTGGAATTAGAAGCAAAACTGTTTTCAATTGTCGTAAAAACCCATCTGGTTCACCAATGTCCTTTGGGGAAGGAAATCTGCTGTCCTTACTTAGGCTGGCCTACATGTGACTCCAGACCTACAGCAACATGGGTAACTCTTAATCACAGAATCCCTACAGTGCTCAAACAGGCCATTCAGCCCATTGAATCTGCACCAACCCTCTGAACAGCATCCCACTCCTCTGCCCTATCCCTGTAACTACCCTCTGAAGTGGCCTGTCAAGACTATAGGGCACTAGAGATGGATGAAAGTGCTGATTCCCAACCCATGTCAGAGAAATATGATACACCTTGAGGCACTTGACAAAACCCTCAACAAAATGAATTGGACCACCGAGCCACATCAAGTGGTGTTAGGGAAAGTGACGGAAGGCTTGAGCAAACATCAAGAGTTTTAAAGAATATTTTAAACAAACAGCGAGATTCTGAGAGGTTGAAGAAGGGCATTCCACAGTTGAAGACTCTGTCGCCAAAGATAGAGTGATTAAAGACAGAGTGATTAAAATCAGAGTTTCAGACCTTGGCAGCTACCCCATTACCAAATCTGTCAACTTTTCACTCACTCACTTCCTTTCTCTTTGCTCCCAATAAACAGTAGTTCCTGTACCTTCCTCAAGCTAGGTACAAACAGTTTCCAAAGTGAATATTGGTGAATCATTCCTCTCTGCAGTTACACAGCCTCTTACAAGTTGCACTCAAATGATGCAGTTAACACTGAAAAGGTCAGAATGTTACTGAAAGATAAAAACATGTGAACTGAGGAGCTAATGACTGTGAAATCAGACATGAAGCCATAGTGTGAAAATATAAACCTCTCCCTTGTTCTCATCTGAGGTACCAATTACAGGTTAGGGGAGACGCTGGGCCAAGGATTTGACAGGAATTGGGGAGGGAGTAGGGGAGGGGAAGGAGATAGGAGACGGCTGGAAGATAGAAGAGAGGGGAGGGGAGAAGGGATGGGAGAGCAGAGAGGAATAGAAGAGAGAGGGGAGGGGGAAAGATATGGAAGAGGAGAGAGGGATTGGGGAGGAGGCGAGAAGCAAGCAGGAGATAGGGAGGGGAGGGGATGAGATAGAGCGGAGAGAGGAGAGGAGGCAGAATAGGTTAAGAGAAAGGGAAAAGGAGGAGAGCAGAGGGCTTAAAGGAGAAGGGAGAAGCAGAAAGGTTATTCCTGTGGATATACCACCCAAGACAGACCAGCCCAGGGAGCATTCCCTTCACGGGGATAGACATAGGCTCCTCTGGAGGTGAGCAATACCCCAAGGCAGCACTGGTTTTCTGTGCTAAGTGAGCAGGATCTCAAAGGGTTAACAAAGAAATGTGTAAATTGACTGCTCCTACACTAAGGGACCATCTTGAAAGTTTCAGGGTAAGAATGGAACGTCTCAGTCAGCTTAGCCAAAATTGGCCAGGGAAGGTCAAGGAAGTTCTAGGAGCACCAGAAGCTGCCTTCCTACTGCAGATCATTGACTGTGTTTGAATCATCTGGATAGGGAGGGAGAGATAGAAGTAAGGAGAAAGGGATGGAGAAGGGGAAAGACAAGGAGGAATGTCAGAAGGATGGAGGGATGGTAAGCGGTGGGGTAGGAGGGAGCTGATGAGAGAAGGATAGAGTGAGCAATGTAGAGAGGGAGAGATGGAGAGAGGGAAGGAAGGAGGAAGGGAGAGAAGGCGGTGCGGGAAGAAGGGAAAGCGTAAAAGAGTGAGGGATGAAGGGAGGGAAGGAAGGAGAGGGAGCAGAAAGGAGAGAAGGTGGAAAGAAGGGAGGGATGTAGAGGGCAGGAAAGAGAGAGGGTGAAAAGGATGGAAGATGGAAAGGAAGAAAGGAGAGAGGGATGGAAAAAGGGAGGGAAGGAGAGAGGGTTGAAAGGAGGGGAGGTGGAACCGAGGGAAGAAGGGAGGGATGGAGAAAGGGCAGGAAGGAGAGACAGAGAATGCAAAATGATGAATTTTAAAAGTCCCTTTGTTGGCTTCCGATGAGCCTTGCCTAGACTAGGCTGACGCTGTGTGAACACGGCACGGAAGTGATGTCTCCTGATATATTTACTTTCTCCTGATAGTCAGTGTCCTTGTCTGCCCACCCTCACTCAGACATCAATGCAGTCACCATGTACCCTCTGCACTTTAATCCACACACACACACACACACACACAGTATCACTCGTTGAGATTCACGTAATCAGACTCCCACACACGCACATACAAACACTCACCCACTCCCCGGCATCACTCTGATTGCAGCTTTTACAGAATAAATAAAGTGACGGATTGGCTTGAAGGATAAAACTGCCTGAGTTCACTCTTTGTTCCATTTTTCTGTGTTTTCTTTTTCTCATTCTTTTTAATTAAATAAATACAGTTCAGATCATCTGAGTCATCTCAATCAAAGCAGTGTGATGAAACAGTCTGTGCAAATGAGTGACAGGAAGTCAGTTTCCAAAAGGATGTCAAGTGATGTTGAAGCACTCCCAGTCATCATGTGAAACTAAATCTGCTGTTCTTTCTCCTTTATGAATATTAACACAATACCCAGCCTTACGCTCACAAGATGTCACAGAGACTATTACACCTTGGAGGCTCAAAATCACTGTCATCACTTGACATTTTATGTAGGTTAACACCTTGTTAAATCACACAAAAGCCTGTCTGATTTTTTTTTCGAGTGGCTTTTTGACTTCTGAGTCAGAGGTTTGTAGATTCAAATCTCCACTCTGGAGAGCCAGGTGTACAAACTGAACTGAGCACCCCCAAGTCTGTAACAGCTGCTACCTTTCAGTCCAGAAGTTAACCTCAGTCCCAGTCTGCCCCAATACCACCGCTCCCCCACCCCCCACAACTCCATCCCTCAGCCCCCATTCTGTCTGGTGGATGTAAACCATACCTTAGAAATGATACAGCACAAAAGGGGGGCCATTTGGCCCATCTTGTCCATGCGACCCAAAGACACCCAGATTCCCTTTCTAATCCCATCTTCCTGCATACGGCCCATGGCTCTGTAGCTTACAGCACTTAGAGTGCAGATCCACAGTTAGCGTCTCTCCCTCCCCCATGTACTTAGGCAGTGAATTCCAGACACCCACACATCTGCGTAAGAAAGCTTTTCCTCATGTCCCCTCTAATCCTTCTGCCACATAGCTTGAATCTATGAACCCTAGTTTTTGAACTCTCTGCAGGTTCCTCCTGTCTACTCTATCCCTAACCCTCTCAATTTTGTGTACCTCAATCATGTCACCTCTCAGCCTTCTCGGTTCTAAGAAAAATCACTGCAATTTCCCCTTGTAGTTACAATTCATCAATTCCCATTCTAGTAAATCTTGTCTGCGCTCTCTCCACAGCAATCGCATTCTTCCTGTAATATGGTGACCAGAATTACACACAATACTCCAGCTTATGACCTCACCAGCGTCTTAAACACTTGCATCATTATTACTCTACTTTCGTGTTCTATACCTCTACCATTGAAGGACAGCGTTCCATATGCCTTCTTTACAACCTTATCTACCTGCACTGCTACCTTTAGGGACCTGTACACTTGCACACCAAGATCTCTCACTTTATCTATCCCTCTCAGAATATTCCCTTTTACTGTTTACTAAATGCACTATCTCACACTTCGCAGAGTTAAACAATCTGACTGTTCCAATAGGATTCCTGAAGCATGACAGTGAACCAGTTGGCGTTTTGCAAAACTTGTTTGACATTTATGGAATTGGATTCTGTAACTCACCAGGGGAGATTTAATTCAAGACGTTGGTGCCATGGTGGCAACGTCAATGAGCTAGCAAATCAAAGAGCCCTGACTCTGGGTTCAAATCCCACCATCACAGGTGGTGAACTTTAAATGTACTTCATTAAAACAAAATCTGCAATTGGAAGATAGCCTCAGGAACTGTGCCATCAATTCTCATAAAAACACAACCAGTTCAGTAATATGCCTTGGGGGAAGAAATCTGCTATCCTTTACCTGGCCTGGCCTACATACAACTCCATGGCAACATGAATGTTTGTTAAGTGACCTCTGTCATGGTCCAGCAAGCCTCTCAATCAACAGTGCATGTGGGAGGGAGGGAGGGAGGGAGGAAATGAAGGCAGGGGGGAAGGAGAGGGGGAGAGGGATGGAGGGAGGGGGTGGAGAGGGGGGGAAGGAGGGGGGGGGGGGGGGAGGGAGGGGGGGGGGGAGGAAAGAAAGGGGGGGGGGGGGGGGGGAAGGAGGGAGGGTGGAAAGGAGGGATTTTTCTCCAATGCCCACATTCCCAAGAAAGAATAAAAAAAGGGTCAATGTAAGATTGGAACTCCTCATGAAGTTCTGGGTCACTAGCCCAGTATTCTCTTTAGAATTAGATTTATTCGTTATTAAACACAGCGTGTGATCAAACCATGGGGAGCAGCTGCTTCTTGTCTACCTGATGAGTTTGGTCCCAATTTGCTGCCGCAGTTCCATCCGTTCCTCATCTGATTTGCGGGGCAGGATGTTCTTCTCCTCCAGCTCCTGCTTGGTCGGTCGGTTGCGGAGTTTAATGGCGAGCGTGTCTCTCCGTCGTATCTTATTGGCGAGAGCACCTGGCGGGTGTCACAAACGCAGGGTTAGTCAGCAGCGCAGCCTGAGAGAGGGAGAACTGAGGGCAAACAACACTCAGAGTACATCAACCATGATGTATCACTCACATGAGGCGAGGGGTCTGACACGGTTTACGCAGGGAATGCAAACTCCGCATGGCAAGGGAGTCCAGGAACATACCCAGCCAGCCTGGCCATTCAGGGCCAAAGTTAGGAAGCTCTTCTGCACACAAAGGGGAATGGAAATCTTGAACTCTCTCTCCCCCAGGGATCAACTGAAGGTCACAAGGGCAAGATCAAAGGATATAATTACCTCTGACGGAGTGCAGCACAGATAGAGTCCATCATGATTAAATGGTGGACCAGATTGTAGAGGGAGTTAAATATCTTCCTCTTGTTCTTCTACCAATTATTTCACACAGCTCCGGCTACATTTCCACCTTAGTCAGAGAGATCGCAATAGTGTACGCTAACGTCTAAGATCAGGTTGGGGCACCTCATTGAGATAAAGAGCTGCGGATCATAGAATCCCTACAATGTGGAAGCAGGCCATTCAGCCCATCGAGTCCACACTGATCTTCCAAAAAAATCCCACCTAGACCTAGACCTACGCCCCCATTCCCTACCTCTGTAAACCTATATTTCCCATGGCTAACCACCTGGCCACTATGGGCAATTTAGCATGGCTAATCCACCCAGCTTGCACATCTTTAGACTGTGGGAGGAAACCGGAGCACCCGGAGGAAATCCACGCAGACACTGGGAGAATGTGAAAACTCCACACAGACAGTCACCCGATGGTGGAATGGAACCCAGGTCCGTGGTGCTGTAAGGCAGCAGTGCTAACCACTGTGCTACCCTTCACGACTTTCATGGAAGAAAAGCTACCATCCTTACATGGGCTGGACCTACAGCAATGTTGCTGATTCTTAACTGCCCCCTGGGCAAATAATGATGGACAATAAATGTTAGCCCAGTCAATGTCTCTCATACCTGGAGTAATGTGTACAGTATTGGTCACCTTATGTTAAGGAAGGATGTTAATGTTCGGACTGGAATGAGTGGGTTGTCCAAGGAAGAAAGGTTGGACAGGCCAGACGTACACCCACTGAGGTTTGGAAGACCAATAGGAAGCTTGATATATAAAATCCTGATGGGTCTTTACTGGACAGATCATTAGCAGTGATATCAGGAAACGTGTTTTCATCGTGAAGATCTACAGAATTATGAAACTCTTGATCCTTCTCCCCTCCGGCTCCCTAAAAAAAGGCCCTTGAGGCTGGGAGTCAATTGAAAACGTCGCCATTAGATAAAGGTAAATTCACCGTTGTCTTACCAGACCATAGGGCTGCTCGCTCACTAGAGAGTGAGACGACTGGTGGTCATTTAACCTGAGGGTCACCACGCCTCAGGCGAGGGGACGGGTTGAAGGAGCCCTTCATGGTAACCTCAACCAGTGCAGGAATTGAACCCATACTGTTGGTATCACTCTACGTTGCAATCCAGCTAGCTGAGCTAACCTACAACTCCTTCTCACCATTAAAGATCAACGGATATTTGTTGAGTGGATATTTTAATGGATTTGGAATAAAGGCAGGGAAATGCAGCCAGGAGGCAGATTGGCCATGATCTAACTGAAAGGTGGGACAGGCAGAAGGAGCTGGATGATGAATTCCTGTTCCTGTGGACGCTACACTGTACCAAATGTTATCGGGAGCCTAATGATCAAAGTTCTTACTGTTTAAACATTCCTCGTCTTCATCTGATTCATCAGATTCGGTCTTGTCTTGCAGCGAGCTGTCAGAATCAGAGTCACTCCCCAGAGATTCCCGATAGCGTACATTGGGAATGACAGTGACAAGGGAGGAACTGTCGAGCTGGACATGGGTCTTCTTGGTGAGAGGGCTCACAGCGGTCTCTGACTTCTCACTCCTGTCAACTTCATCACAGCTACTGCTGGAAAGACAGCATTGGGAGATGTGGTTAACATGAGACAAGGCACCAAATCCCAGCACGGACATGATATACCTGTGTGCACCAGTGCACATAACCCTGACCACACTCAGAATGGCAGTCCTACAGCTCAGGCACACACCACCCCTTTAGGATCCTCAGTGTTCTAGGACCCAGCTGGAATGTCCAAGAATCATAGTCCAATCTTCAAGCCACTCAGCTGTTCACAGTCTATATCAATACTTGGCGTGTGCAATATTTCCAAGTTTGCATATGGCACAAAACATACTGGGAATGTGGCTTGTCAGGAAGATGCAGACAGACTTAGACAGGTTGAGTGAGTGGGCAAGACTGTGGAATATAATTTGGATAATTGTCGGGTAGGATTCTTTATAGGAGGAATGGAGGTGCAGTTTGTCTTAAATGGTGAGAGACTAGAAAGTGTTGGAAGTCCAAAGGCATCTAGGTGTCCTTGTCACTGAAATTTAGCCTTGCAGGTTCAACATGCAATTCAGGAGCCTTGGAGATGTTAGCATTTATTGCAAAAGGATTTGAACACAGAAGGAAAGTTGCATTGTACCAATTATATCAAGGCTCAGTGAGACCGTATCTGGAGTACTGTGTGCACTTCTGTATATGATCAGTAAATATGTATATATTCAATATGTACTTCCCACAGAGACAGAGCAGGAGAGGTTCACCAGACTAAATCCTGGGATCATGGAACTGTCCTACAAGGAGAGATTGGGGAAGCTGGGCCCATATTCTCTAGATTTTAGAAGAATGAGAGGCGATCTCAAAAAGAATTTACAGGATTCTTAAAGGTCTTTGCATGTTGGATGCAGAAAGGTGTTTTCCCTGGCTGTGGAGTCTGGAATCAGAGAACATAGTCTCGAGATAAAGGACAGGCCACTTAGGAATGAGATGAGGAAGAATTTATGCAGATGCTGGTGAATCTTTGGAATTCTCTACTCCAGAGAGCTGCATGAGCTCAATCATCCAACATGTTTAAAACAGAGATTTCGAGTAGTGGAGGCAATGGCCTAGTGGTATTATCACTGGGCTGTTAATCCAGAGACCCAGTTCGATTCCCACCACACCACATGTTGGAATTTGAATTCACTAAAAATCTGGAATTAAAAGTCTAATGATGACCATGAGACAATGGTTGATTGTCAGGAAAAACCCATCTGGTTCACTAATGCCCTTAGGGAAGAAAACTGCCATCCTTAACTGGTCTGGCCTAACCTTAGCCTGAAACCTATATGTGACTCCAGGCCAAGAGCAATGTGGTTGATTCTTAACTGCCCTCTGTGCAGCTGGGAAGGGCAATAAATGCTGGCCTAGCCATCAAAACCCTCATCCTGTGAATGAAAGTAAAAGATACTAATATTATCAAAGAATAGTGGGGTAGCATTGAAGGAGATGATCAGCCACAATCCAGAATGGTGCATCAGATTGAGGGGGTGAATGGCCTACCCTTGCACCTACCTTTCTATGTTCTGGTCTCCCTAACAGCTAGGGAAAGTTCTAAAGCTTCTGGTGTTCAGGGAATGGGGTGTTCCACTGGCTGGTGGGGGGGGCAGGAGCTTATCTGATGGGATCCTCTGGCACTATGTCTATTCAAGCAGAGTTTGAGTGAGTCAAGAGGTCTAAAAATGTGCTGAATTCAAAACTGGGCCAAATGTGTAAAATGCCTTTCTAGTGTGAGGCCTCATACCTGCTAATGAACCTTCACTAGAAACTGTCACCCCTTCTCAGGAGCCTGAGGCCCCTCTGCTCAGGATGTGGATCTGGCCTAGCCAACCAAAAACATTGCTGAAAGGGTGAGTAACACAGAAAGGAGCAGGAGTAGGCCATTCAGCCCTTCGAGCCTGCTCTGTCATTCAATATGATCACAGCTAGCCACCCAACTCAATGTCCTGTTCCTGCTTTCTCCCTGTACACTTTCATCCCTTCAGCCCTAAAGTTATTTAAATGTTGAAATATCTATGTGTGGCCCATCCTGGGCTCGCATCTGGTTCACAGTGTGGTCAGCCACGCTGCACCCTCTGGGAATTTAACATCCAAACATGGGGTTACCCACCCTGGGATTGAACACACTCCTCTCTCACAAGCACCCAGGAGGTGGTGAGACAGATTTAGATGAGGCTCAGGGACAACTTCCTGGTGGTCCACAGCATGGCTTCCCTGCCAGTAGGTGGACTCTCAGCCCAGAGAGAGGCCATTCAGCCCTCTGCATCTCCTTTGGAAGAGCTTTCTAACTATCCCATTCACCCCTGCTCTTTCCCCACAGCTCTGCAATATATTCTTCAATTTAAAATGAATTTAATTATTTCCTTTATTACAAGTTAAGGTTCAGGCACAATTCATCAGAATGTTTCTCCTGTACATAAGGGAGGACAAATGAGGAAAGAAATTTGACCAGTGTGAAGGCTAAAAAATGCAGTGTAAGCTTTAGGGCACCCCTGGCTGAAAGGATAACCAACTCAGGGCTGAGGAAGGGTCACTGGACCCGAAATGTTAACTCTGTTTTTTCCTTCATAGATGCTGCCAGACCTGCTGAGCTTTTCCAGCAACTTCTATTTCTGTGTCAGGGCTGAGCCTGCTGGCTTAACTCACAGTGACCCTGGGCCACTTCTGCAAAATCGTTAAAAATAACCACAACAGAGGATAAACATTCATTGAAGGTATGACCAGCTATCAGTTTTTGAAAAATACAGCAAAATAAAGGCAGAATAGTGCAGACGTTGTATTTCTGAAATAAAAAGAGAAGTGCCGGAGGAACTCAGTAGGTTACGTTTCTCCAGTGCTTTGAAAAATACAGAGCTGAATTCTATTTGAAAAACAGAACTTGTGTTTTCCATTAAAGCTCACAATTAGAAGCTTGCTCCTGATCAAGGTTATTGCTGACACAGTCAAAGAACAGAAACATACCGTCCTATCACCAAGTTACAGGATTCAAAGTCTCCATGCACAACCTGCCATCCTCCAGAAAAAAGACTGGTGACAGGAGACAGGGAACAGCCACTGGCTACTGCACTAAACTTTGAGAGGCATTCAATATCCTCCCAGAGCCCTCAATTCAGAGTCTGCAGTGCTCCTTAAAACTTCCTTTAGCTCCTTAACTCCCATCCTCCCTCTCTTTCAACACACTGCATCTCAGCTCTTGGGAAGTTTTCTTCAAATAGACCTCCTTTACATTTCCTGCTCAAAATCTGCTTCTTTTGGACAACCTCCCCTGACCCATCACCCAGTTCAGCCCTCATTAGCAGATCCCCCTCTCTCCCGTTCTTCTCCCCCACTTTCTTGATTGACACCCCATCCACAAACTTTGGAGCTTAGATCAAATGTAAGCTTTTGCAAATGCATTGTTTTAATTTTGGCAGAACGATGGTTGAACTGTGGGATATTAGAACACTCACCCACAGGCTGGGTGGTTTAGCTATTACAGGGATGGGATAGGATAGGGGGTGGGTCTGGGTAGGATACTGTTTGGAGGCTGACATCCCCTGACTTTCAGGAGAGTTATAATGTGAAAGGGTTCAATCAGGAGATCAGCCCTTCACCCAGGGGAGCTAGGCTTCTACCACTGCTTCCATTGTGGTGCTGCCATTCGAACATCAACAACAGGCAATATTGATTTGATTCCGATTATTGAAGCAGGTGCATTTCTGCATGTGCTGGGTTTTATTTCACTTTTGATAATCCTACCCTCTGTGCCTCCAAGTATGGTTCCCTTTGAAGAAGGGACAGCAGATTCCCCTTGATACTGGAGTTCCACTGTGAAACTGTTAACATGCAGTAGAACTGAAATGGGAAAAGGCTGTGCCCAATGTTACTCATGTGACGTTGCCTACATCCAGTTAAAGCCAGCTCCCTGGAACCCTGTCTGACAATCAAACACAGTTATGTGGGACACACTGTTTCCAATGAAAGCTAGGCTAACTCTGCCAACTCAAATTCTCAGTGCTTCCAAAGAAATTTCATTTTGATTTTCTTCTAACTGATAGTTATGAGAAGGTACTGAAGGGGGTGCTGTTTCCAATTTATTCATTCTTCAACCTGGATCAACATCTTTTACTCAAAACTGCAAAAAACTTTCAGACATTTACCGCAGCTCACGTACATTTCTACATCACTGAAGAGTCAGGGAAGGTTGAATTTTAAAACATCAGTAGTTTACCCAGAAGTATTACCAAGACTTGTCACTAATCCCTGCTGTGTCATAGGTAATGGATTGGCTTTGGGTAATTTATTATCAGGATGTGGAGCTCTAGCTTTGGAAGGTGCTGTCTGAGGATCTTTGGTGAATTTCTGCAGTGCATCTTGTAGATAGTATACACTGCTGCTACTGAGCATCAGTGGTGGAGGGAGTGGATGTTTGTGGATGTGGTGCTAATCAAGCGGCTACTTTGTCCTGGATGGTGTCAAACTCGAGTGTTGTTGGAGCTGCACCCATCCAGGCAAGTGGGGAGTATTCCACCACACTCCTGACTTGTGCCTTGTAGACGGTGGGACAGGCTTTGGGGAGTCAGGAGGTGAGTTACTCGCCACAGTATTCCCAGCTTCTGGCCTGCTCTAGTCGCCATGACAATTATGGATTGGGTAACAAAACCTGGGCTTGACATGACGCCCACTTCCCACAGAAGAATAAGGAAAGAAAAAAAAAATGTGTGTGCGGCTGGTCAAGTTGAGTTTCAGGTCTAGCTACTCAAAGGTTTTGGTGAATGGAGAATGCCATTGGGGGAAATCCAACCACATCTGCAGTTCTCTGTAGGATCTGCTCTGGTAGAACTGAACTGGCTCAGAGGGTGGACTCCAGAGACCTGTACATGTCATAGAGGTGCTCATTCCAACTCAGTGCTCATTGATACAGTGCTGCATTGCCTGATGTACCATCGTTCCAAGGAAACCCTAAACAGAGGCCAATTCACCACTCTCCAGTGAGACTCTGCAGCATTAGTTTAAGGAAGATCAGGAGACTTCTCCCTGGTGTCCTGAGGCAATGTTCATTCCCCTACCAAAAACATCAGAACAGTTGATTTCTGGTCATTTTTTTCCTTGTTGTTTGAAATAACTGCACAGAGGCCAGTGTCCCGTCACCAGCTCACCCTTTATTTACAAGGTCAGGAGTCACACAACACCAGGCTACAGTCCAGCAGGTTTATGTGAAATCACAAGCTTTTGGACCACTGCTCCTTCGTCAGGTGAAGTCTGAAAGCTTGTGATTTCAAACAAACCTGTTGGGCTATAACCTGGTGTTGTGTGACCTGTGACCTTGTCCACACCAGTTCAACACCAGCACCTCCACATCATTTATGTACATGTGCACAGTACATGGGCTCTGTACAGCCAGCTTACAGCCAGTACCCAGAATGAGGAGGCTCTGAATCCCCTGTTTATATCTGTCAACCAGGGCTCCCTGACTGGCCCAGGTTATCAACCCCAATCAAGGATCTCACAGTCAATGAGATCCACTTGGCCCTTATTCCAATCACTGTGTGGCTGTTTGTGGGAGCTTTCTGTGTGCACATAAGCGGTTTCAATGCCCCACAATACAACAGGGACTGGACTCAGAAAATACTTTGTTGGACATCAGGTGCTTTATGATTTTCTAAGTTGTGAAAGTGTGCGTGAAGCTTTCTTTAGCTGGCTAATGGTTATTTACTTCCTCTCAGGTCATGAGGTCAATACCCACCATCGGAAATAGTGAAGCTGAAATTGGTTCCCAAATGTGTCACCAATGAGACCACCTATTGGAGCTCTGAACAACTGTGACCTGTCTGCGTCAATCACCTGCTCTAACTTTCCCTAAATCAGAAATCATAGAATCATAGTGTTCAGAAGAGGCCCTTTGGCCCATTGAGTCTTTACTGACAAAAACCGACTCTAAATCTCCCACTTTCCAGCACTTGGCCCACAGCCTTGAATGTTGTGACAATTCACTGCTCATCCTTGGATTACTTTTTAATAGCTGTGAGGTTTCCCACCTCAGTCCCCCTTCTCAGGCACTGCATTCCAGACTCCCACCACCCTCTGGGTGAAAATGTATTTCCTCCAATCCTCTCTAAACTTTCTGTCCATCACCTTAATGTTATGTCCCCTTGTTATTGACCCGTCAACTGAGGGGAGCAGCTGCTTTCTCTCCACCCTGTCCGTGCCCCTCCCAATCTTATACACCTCTATCAGGTTCCCGCTCAACCTTCTCTAAAGAAAACAGTCTGTCTTTTTTCCAGCCTCTCTTCATCGCTGAAATGCTCCATCCCAGGCAACATTCCTGGTGAATCTCCTCTGTACTCCCTCTTACATCTGACAACCTACCCCATCTATTCCATCTGGGAATATGCTGTGGAAACTCAACAGCTCCAACAAAAAGGTTTTGTGGTCTTACCCCTTCTCTGTTTCTTCAGTTGTTGTCAGGTCTTTCTCTGCCTGCTGCTCAGACATGTTTCCTTCTCCATCAGTAACATCAGGCTTGCCAGGCAGAGTGGGGGAAGCTCCCTTCTTAACGCTTTGTTGTTGGGATAGGTCAGGCTGATCAACCTGTTGATCAGCGGCTTTCTCCGATTTTTCAGTTCTGGCCTTTGTCTTCTCATCGTGGTCTCCAGGCTCTGGCACTAGGTGCGTTACAGCTGGGAGCCCAAAGGAGTCGCTTTCACCCAGTCGCAGAGACTGAGGTTGAGTAGGAAAGTCGGAATGTTTTCCAGAATTCCTGTGTGTGTCCCCCGTGCCTGGGAAGCGTGACAGGTCTTGGGCTTGATCAGTGTTCACCTCTGAATGAAGCTGTGATGGCGACTGAGGTGATGACAACAAATTGGGGAGTACTTTCAAATCGCAGGCCTCGTCTGGAAGTGAGAGTTGACAACAATCACCAAATGAACAAATTAAACATTCTGCAAAACTGTTTGGTAACCAGTTACAGTAAACACATGGATGAATGGATGAATGTAAAACCATTTGCACACTGGCCCAGAACGTTTCTCTCATCAGATAGAGAATGCAGTGGATACACAAAACCTTGGGGGTCACTAAGTTGTGATTCAATAGCTGGCAATCTTGTTTCGGAGTCAGAGTATTGTGGTTTCAAACTACACCTACAGGCTTCCACAAAGTCTGCACCGCCAGAGTTTTCAACTGAGACTCAGGTGTGAAACGTCCCATGGTGCAGAAACGGTCTCCTTGAAATTGGGGCCATTATTTGTTCCTGACTGAACATCACGGGACAGAGTATTTAGCTGTTAATCCCACTGTCCTCTGTGGGAGTTTGTTGTGTGAAAAACAGCCTGACGTGCTTCTCTACTTTCTGGGGTTCTCAATCGAGAGCTTGGTTGGGAGGGGGGTGGTTTGGTGAGAGGGGACTGGGGGCAGCAGCAAGAATATTCAAGGGGCCCACCAAAAACAGAGAAAGGCTGACCAATCAATCGAACAATCAGAATTTGAGTCAGGGTATGTGAGAGCCAAGATATTTTGTCAATGAAGGGTTTCTATGCCATGAATGTCAGGGTGGCTTTGAGTTTGAACAGGCTTTGCGTGATGTGCAGAGATTAAACTGGTCTGAAAAGGAGGCTCGGTAGTGGTTGATGGGGGCAGTGATGGCAGATGGAAGGGTGGCAGATCACGTCCTTGGTTATAAAATGTTTACATCATGTTTCTCATAAAGCAGCAATCACCCAGAGTCTCTGCTGAATGGTGACAGATGCTCCACAAGTTTGGAAAATGTTGACATGGATTTGGTGTCTGTGTGCATGTTCCATCTTACTGGAACAACACTGGCTAACTACAATTGCCACTGAATTATCCAGAGGTGAATCACGAATGTGGGTATTACACACTGTTATGACATAATTGTGCATGATTTGAGGCAATATGGGTACAGCTCAGGAACAGAAAGGGTGAACTCACAACATGTTTGGGGTTTACTATAGGCCTCCCAACAGCCAGCAGGAGATAGAAGAACAGATATGTAGGCAGATTTTGAAAAGATGTAAAAGTAACAGGGTTGTTATCGTGGGTGATTTTAGCTTCCTATATATTGGCTGGGACTCACTTAGTGCTTGGGGCGCAGATGGGGCAGAATTTGTAAGGGCTTCTTGAAACAGTATGTAGATAGTCCGACTAGGAAAGGGGCTGTACTGGACCTAGTATTGGGGAATGAGCCTGGCCAGGTGGTCGAGGTCTCAGTAGGCGAGCAGCTCGGGAGCAGTGATCACAATTCAGTAAGCTTTAAGGTACAGATGGATAAAGATGGGTGTAGTTGTCAGGTGAACATGCTAAATTGGGGGAAGGCTAATTATAAAAATATTAGGCAGGAACTGAAGAACGTAGATTGGAGGCAGATGTTTGAGAGCAAATCAACACATGGTTTGTGGGAGGCTTTCAAGTGTAAGTTGCTCGGGACTCAGGACCAGCACGTTCCTGTTTGGATGAAGGATAAGTATGGCAAGTTTAGGGAACCTTGGATAACAAGAGATATTGTAAGCCTAATCAAAAAGAAAAAAGGAAGCATTTATCAAGGCTAGGAGGCTGGGAACACATGAAGCAAGGGTGGGATACAAGGAAAGTCAAAAGAAACTTAAGCAAGGAACCAGGAGGGCTAAAAGGGGTCATGAAAAGTCATTGGCCAACAGGATTAAGGAAAATCCCAAGGTTTTTTATACATATATAAAGAGCAAGAGGGTTGGCCCACTCAAGGACAGGGAAGGGAATTTATGTGTGGAACCAGAGGAAATGGGCGAGGTATTAAATGAGTACTTTGCATCAGTATTCACCACAGAGAAGGATTTGGTGGATGTTGATGTTCTGAGGAAGGGTCACCGGACCCAATACGTTAACTCTGTTTTTCCCTTCATAGATGCTGCCAGACCTGCTGAGCTTCTCCAGCAACTTTGTTTTTCTTGGTGGATGATGAGTCCGGGGAAGGGAGTGTAGATAGTTTGGGTCATACTGAGATCAAAAGGAAGGAGGTATTGGGGGTCTTGAAAAACATTAAGGTAGACAAGTCCACAGGGCTTGATGAGATATACCCCAGAATACTGAGAGAGGCAAGGGAGGAAATTGCTGGGACCTGGAGGGAAATCTTGTATCCTCACTGGCTATAGGGGAGGTCCCAGAGGATTGGAGAATAGCCAATGTTGTTCCTTTGTTTAAGAAGGATGGCAGGGATAATCCAGCTAATTACAGGCTGGTAAGCCTTATTTCAGTGGTAGGGAAATTATTGGAGAGGATTCTTTGAGACAGGATTTACTCCCACCTGGAAATAAGTGGGTGTATTAGAGAGAGGCAACATGGTTTTGTGAAAGGGTGGTCGTGTCTCACTAACTTGGTTGAGTTTTTTTGAGGAAGTGACAAAGATGATCGATGAGTGTAGGGTAGCGGATTTTGTTCACATGGACATCAGTAAGACCTTTGACAAGGTCCCTCAAGGCAGGCTGATACAGAAGGTAAAGTCGCACGGGGTCAGAGGTGAGCTTGCAAGATGGATAAAAAACTGGCTCGATCATAGAAGACTGAGGGTAGCAGTGGAAGGGTGCGTTTCTGAATGGAGGGCTGTGACTAGTGGCGTTCCTCAGGGATCAGTGTTGGGACCTTTGCTGTTTGTAATATATATAAATGATTTGGAGGAGAATGTAACTGGTCTGATTAGGAAGTTTGCTGATGCACGAAGGTTGCTGGAATTGCGGATAGCGATGAGGACTGTCAAAGGATACAGCTGGATATAGATCAGTTGGTGACTTGGGCAGAGAGATGGCAAATGGAATTTAATCTGAAAAATGTGAGGTATGCATTTTGGAAGGTCTGATCCAAATGGAAAATATACAGTAAATGGGAGAACCCTTTAGAGTACTGCTAGGCAGAGAGATCTGGGTGTACAGGTACACAGGTCACTGAAAGTGGCAACGCAGGTGGAAGAGGCAGTCAACAAGGCATATGGCATGCTTCCTGCCTTCATCAGCCGGGGCATTGTGTTTAAAAATTGTCAGGTAATGTTGCAGCTTTATCGAACCTTGGTTAGGCCACATTTGGAATATTGTGTTCAATTCTGGTCGCCACACTACCAGAAGGATGTGGTGGCTTTGGAGAGGGTACAGAAAAGATTTACCAGGATGTTACCTGGTATGGAGGGCATTAGCTATGAGGAGAGGTTGCAGAAACTTGTGTTGTTCTCACTGGAACGAAGGAGGTTGAGGGATGACTGATAGAGGTCTACAAGATGATGAAGGGCATGGACAGACTGGACAGTCAGAAGCTTTATCCCAGGGTGGACGAGTCAGTTACTAGGGGGCCATGGGTTTAAGGTGCGAGGGGCAAGGTTTAAAGGTGATGTACGAGGCAAGTTTTTTTACAAAGAGGGTGGTGGGTGCCTGAAACTCGCTGCTAGAGGGAGGTAGTGGAAGCAGATACAATAGTGACTTTTAAAGGGCGTCTTGATAAATACATGAATAGGATGGTAATAGAGGGATAGGGTCCCTGGAAGGGTAGGGGGTTTTAGTTGTTACGGGCAGCATATTGGTGCAGGCTCGGAGGGCTGAAGGGTCGGTTCCTGTACTGTAGTTTTCTTTGTTCGTAGTTCTTAGATTTTACATCAATGGAGAAAGCAGCAATTGGGTTATCAGCTGTTCTACTGGGGCATGTGAATTGCGCCCAGTATCAAATCTACTTTTTTTTAGGAAAACGCTGAGAAAGAAGCCACTGGAATTTCAAAGTGTAAAGGCAACTTGATTGAAAGATAGAAGATCCTGAGGGGTCTTGGCTGGGTAGATATGGAGGGGCCGTTTCCTCTTGGCAGTGAATGTAGAACTCAGGGTCATTGTTTAAAAATTAGGGATCACCCATTCAAAACAGATGAGGCCAAGTTTGTTTCTCACAAAGGGTTGGTTGAAAGTCTTAGGAATTCTCTTTCTCAAAGGAGGTGGAAGGAGAGGGCAAGAATATTGTTAAGGAAGAATTGGACAGATTCTTGATAAACAAGAGAGGTCTAAATTATCAGGGGTAGGCTCATAAATGAACTAACAATCAGATCATTCATGATCTTATTGAATACAGGAGCAGGTTTGAGGGGCTGAATGGCCAACATCTCCTGTTTGTTCGTATCTCGCACGTACAACTTGCAAAGTGTAAGGAACCAAAAACAGAACTTGCTGGAAAAGCTCAGTAGGTCTGGCAGCATCTGTGAAGGAACAAATCAGAGTTAACCTTTCGGGTCCGGTGACCCTTCCTCAGAACTGGAGTTCTTTCGGTTTTTGTTTTGCAAAATGTAAGGGTTGTTGTGAGAGATTCTCTGGTCAGATATAGAGTGGAGAATAAAAGAGAATTGCAGTCCAAGAAGCGAAAGACAGTCAAGTTGTAAATCCAACAATAAGTGAAATTGTTTAATTTTGTAACTACATTTATACAGAAAAAAATATTTGTGTTAAAAGGGGGCCGATAGGGATTTTGTAACACAGAAGTACATTAGAAACATAAGCTTTGACCACCCCAGCTCTACATTACCACAGTCAGTCTCTGGGCTTGAAGAATATGTATGATTGTGTGTGTAAATCTTGGGAGATCCTGATGTTGTGAACCGCAGAAGCTCTTTCTTAATTAATGTGATGCAGTCATAAAATGTGACACACTGCATTATCGAAGAAGTTAACTCATTCGAAATACATCCAGCAGCACAGGGTAAAAATGGAATTCTGTTTCTCAGCCAAGTACTTCCAGAGTTTAGCATGGGATAGATACTGAATAAAGCTCTTTCTATGTTTCCCTCAATCGATGCATAACATGGTAACAGTTTTAGATAGAAAATGACTTTCGGCTTAGTGACCCCACCTACCTGCAATATTATTTTCGTCCATTTCTCATCACTGTTTAATCCCATTTGCTGATGGGGCTTTGGTTAGTTGCTTCCAACAACCTACTGAAGTTTCTTGTTCTGCCTCTGGTGTTTCCCTATACTTACCATTCCTGAAGACCAGTGTCAGTTATTCAATAAAAAGTCCCCTGAATCATACTCCATTTCAATGCTGGAGAATGATGGGGTGCAGAGAACAGGATTGAGATAACTCAAAATTTATCCAACAAAATATCAGGTTCATCGTGCACATGAAATTGTCAACTGTTTCCAAGGCTAGCTTGCAAAGGAGCTCACCAGATCAAACAGAGAACAAAGTAGCCAACTGTAATAGTTATGCTGTAAAATTAAAGGTGTACTTTACATGTTTGTAAATGCTCTTTGAAGGGTTGGTGCTGACTTGATGGACTGAATGGCCTCTTTCTGCACAGTAGGGATTCTGTGATTTACATGTTGCTTAGAACACAGTCTGAACTCAAGAAATTGAGCTTGAAGAATGTGTTCGAGGAAGGGATGGGAGGGGTACTCAGTAAAGAATTAGCAAAATCTTTCTGAGAGGGAGGTTTTAAAGAAGCTGTGGAATGAAAGCCTGTCTTTGTGCTGATGGTTGATGACACATTGGTTGCGGGTAACATCTTTCGAAGCCTCAAAAACTGAGCTTTTAGCTGGGGTTCAAAAGCAATGGAGGAAGCAGAGTGACCTGGGCAAAAATTTGTAGGAAACAGAAAAAGGATAAACTGCCAGCAAAGTGGCCAGAGATAGTAGGAACTGCAGATGCTGG